TCAAGACTTCAAATCCAAAGCTGTAAAAAGAGTCAATGTCATTGTATAATGATGAAGGGTCAATTCAACAAAAGGATATAACAGTTTGTGTGTGTGTGTGTGTGTGTATTTATGTATGTGTATGTGTGTATGTGTATGTATGTGTGTGTATATCTGTGCATATGTATGTGTGTGTGTGTGTCTGTGTGTGTGTGTGTGTGTGTGTGTGCATGCATGCACCCAACATGGGAGCTCCTTAATATATAAAGTGAGTATTAATAGACCTAGATGGGGAGAGAAACTGATACAGTAGCAGTCGAGAACTCTGATACCCGCTTTCAGCAATGGACAGATCATGCAGTCAGAAAATCAACAAAGAAACAGCAGCATTAAACTGTATCCTATAATGGACTTAACAGAGACATCTGCAGAACGTTCTACTCGATAACTGCAGGATACACATTCTTCTGAGCAGCACATGGAACCATCTCCAGGATATATGGTGTCATATGGTAGGCCACAAAACAGGTCTCAACAAATTTTTAAAAATTGAAATCATATCAAGTATTTATTTATTTATTTATCTGAGATGGAGTCTCACTCTGTCACCCAGGCTGGAGTGCAGTGGTGCAGTCCCAGCTCCACCTCCACCTCCCGTGTTCAAGCAGTTCTCCTGCCTCAGCTTCCTGTGTAGCTGGGATTACACACACACACCACCACACCTGGCTAATTTTTTTGTATTCTTAGTAGAGATGGGGTTTCACCATGTTGACCAGGCTGGTCTTGAACTCCTGACCTCAAGTGATCTGCCCACCTCGGCCTCCCAAAGTGCTGGGATTACAGGCGTGAGCCACTGCACCCAGCCATTCAAGTATCTTTTGTGACTACAATGCAATGCAACTAGAAATCAATAAGAAGAACAACTTAGGAAACTATACAAATGCTTGGAAATTACACAACATACTCCTGAACAACCAGTTGGTCAATGAAGAATTAAGAAGGAATTAGAAAATTTATTGAGACAAATGACAATGGGAACACAGCCTACCAAAACAGTGGGATACTGCAAAAGTAGTACTAAGAGGGAAGTTAATAGCAATTAACATCTACATCAAAAAAGTAGAAAGATCTCAACCTAACGTTGCACCTCAAGAAACTAGAAAACCAGGACAAACAAAACCCAGAATTAGTAGAAGGAAAGAAATAATAAAGATCAGAGCAGAAATAAATGAAATAGAGACTGAAAAAAAAAACAATATAAAAGGTTAACAAAAGAGTTGTTTTTTTCAAAAGATAAAATGAACAAACCTTTAGCTAGACCAAGGTGGAAAAAAGACTCAAAATAAATAAAATCAGAGACAAAAAGGAGACATTGCAAGTGACAGCACAGAAATACAAAGAATCACTAGAGGCTGTTATGAGCAACTCTGTGCCAAGAAATTGGAAAACCTAGAAGAAGTAAAGAAATTTCTGGACACATATAGCTTACTGATACTCAGTCATGAAGAAATAGAAAACCTGGACAGACCAATAATGAGTAATGAGATTGAATCAGTAATAACTCTCCCGTGAAAGAGAAGCCCAGGGCCTGATGTCGTCACTGCTAAATTCTACCACACCTTTAAGGAAGAACTAATACCAGTTCTTCCCAAATTATTCCACAAAATTGAAGGAAAGAATTCCTCCATACTCATTCTACAAGGCCAACATTATCCTGATACCAAAGCTAGAGAGGGACACGAGAGAAAAAACTGCAGGCTAGTACCTCCAATGAGTATAGATGCAGAAATCCTTCACAAAATACTAGCAAACCAAATCTAATCGCTCCACATTAAAAAAAAAAAAAAAATCAGAAGCTAGCCAGTGTCGGTGAGGACGGGGAGGAAAGGGAATCCTTATAGGCTGCTGGTGGGAATGCAAGTTAGTACAGGCATTACGCGATGCAGTCCAGAGGTTCCCATCACGTGACACAGTTCGGAGGTTCCCATCATGCAACGCAGTTCGGAGGTTCCTCAAAAAGTTAAAAATAGAACTACCATGTGATCGGGCCATCCTGATACTGAGTATATATCCAGAGGAAATGCCATCAGTGTATCAAAGCGGTATCTGCACTCCTCTATTTATTGCAGTGCTATTCTTGATAGCCAAGATATGGAATCAACTTAAATGTCCATCAACAGCTGGGCACAGTGGCTCATGCCTGTAATTCCAGTACTTTGGGAGGCCGAAGTGCACAGACCTCGTGAGGCCAGGAGTCTGAGACTAGTCTGGCCATCGTGGCGAAACCCCATCTAACTAAAAATACAAAAATTATCCAGACATGGTGACCTGCGCCTGTCGTCCCAGCTACATGGGAGGCTGAGGCAGGAGAATCGCTTGAACCTGGGAGGCAGAGGTTGCAGTAAGCCAAGATCATGACACTGCACTCCAGCCTGGGGACAGAGAGTGAGACTCTGTCTTTAAAAAATGTCCATCAACAGAGTAAAGGCTGAAGATAACGGTATGTGTATACGCTGTGGAATACAATTCAGCCTTAATTCTTTCAGTTTTGGCAACATGGGTGAACCTGGAAGATGTTACAGTAAGTGCAATAAGCCAGGCACAGAAAGACAGCTGTCACATGCTAAAACTCGTCTAATCTAAAAAGTTGTTCTCCTGGAAGTAGAGAGTGGAATAGTGGTTGCCAGAGGATGAGGAGGGTAGGAAGGAGAAAGGGATGGAGAGAGATTGGTCAACAGGTCCAAGGTGACAGGTAGGAGAAGAGTACGTTCTGGTGTTCTGTTGCACAGTAAGACGACAAGGGTTAACAGTGTATGGTGTATTTCAGAACAGCTGGAAGAGAGGTTTTTGCATGTTCTCATCACAGGGAAATGATAACTATTTAAGATGATGGGGCCGGGCGTGGTGGCTCAAGCCTGTAATCCCAGCACTTTGGGAGGCCGAGACGGGCGGATCACGAGGTCAGGAGATCGAGACCATCCTGGCTAACCCGGTGAAACCCCGTCTCTACTAAAAAATACAAAAAACTAGCCAGGCGAGGTGGCAGGTGCCTGTAGTCCCAGCTACTCGGGAGGCTGAGGCAGGAGAATGGCGTAAACCCAGGAGGCGGAGCTTGCAGTGAGCTGAGATCCGGCCACTGCACTCCAGCCTGGGCGACAGAGCGAGACTCCATCTCAAAAAAAAAAAAAAAAGATGATGGATATGCTAATTTGTTGCGATCAATGCACAATGTATCCATTGTATACTATAAATATGTACAATTATGTATCAATCAAAAAATTTTTTAAAGGTGACACTAAATACAGTAGCTATGTAAATCAAATTTTTACAACAGTTTTCTTCTACAGGAGAAGATACCAAATATAGATTGTTTGGTATATCTTAGAATAAAAGCCACATTCTTTTGTAGCTTTGGCACCTCAGGGACACTTTATTGTGAGGAAGGGAAATTCTTCAGCTTTGTTCGGAGGAAATTATAGGTAGATCTGAGCGCTCAAAGTTTCTAAGATGTCAGTGCTGTTTGTATAATTTTGGAATCAAAGGGAGGCAGAGCTTGCAGTGAGCTGAGATCCGGCCACTGCACTCCAGCCTGGGCGACAGAGCGAGACTCCATCTCAAAAAAAAAAAAAAAAAAGATGATGGATATGCTAATTTGTTGCGATCAATGTACAATGTATCCACTGTATACTATAAATATGTACAATTATGTATCAATCAAAAATTTTTTAAAAGGTGACACTAAATACAGTAGCTATGTAAATCAAATTTTTACAAAAGTTTTCTTCTACAGGAGAAGATACCAAATATAGATTGTTTGGTATATCTTAGAATAAAAGCCACATTCTTTTGTAGTTTTGGCACCTCAGGGACACTTTATTGTGAGGAAGGGAAATTCTTCAGCTTTGTTCGGAGGAAATTATAGGTAGATCTGAGCGCTCAAAGTTTCTA